AAATACATAAGTATGTGTGTGTTCGTGTATCTGTGCCGCCGGCAGATTTCGTCTATTTTCTGTTGCATGAGATTATCAAATCGTCTTATTGTAATTCCATATAATTATTTTTTCATAGCTTTTGGGCGGCATTAAATCAGAAATTGCTCAATGCGTTCACTCGTATATTTGATGATGACATAAAAAAGTTGCACATAATGAATCTAATTCGAAATTGAAATTTATATACCCTATACGCGTTGATTTCTAAAATAGGCTCAGGGTAGTTGGAGTTGAGGATACCTATGTACACAGCATTCGTTTTTTTGAAACTTTTCGTAGCTCGCATATTTAATTGTTTTATTATGCTGTAATTTAATCATGAAACATTCAAATATTTCTGTGCACTTATGACGTAGTAGTGGTATTGTATTTGGTATACGTATTTGTTTGTCTATATAATTTCGTACAGGGCATACATTTTGCAATTGGTTTTTAACAGCATCATTTCGTATTTCAAGCGTTAAAATCATATGATCTGGGTATCAAACAAAATATTAAAATAAAATTATAAAATATTAATAGATGAGTATATAAGTTCGTTTGTATGTATATGAACATATGTATATGTAATTTACATAAAGTGCTTACGTTTGTTTTCTAATATTTCATAGCAATCTTAGTATACATTTTTTATAGCTCACAGATGTTGTATGATCCAAAAAACATGATCAATCAATTAGATTTGTCGGGAGTTTAACTTATTAACAGATATATACATGTATATGTATGTAAGTAAATATACTTGTATTAATATACATACATACATATCTACATAAAGAAAAAAGTCTACAAAATTAATCGGCCACTTTGGACAATTTGTTGTTGATGTCATCGGCGCCACTAAAACGTACAACGCGCTTTAAAACATGTGTAACTTAAAAAATGTTGTTATTTTTTATTTTTGCTGTCCGCTGCCCTACCCGCTGCGCTTTTGCCACCCATTCGTCGACTGGTGGTTGGACCCACACATTTAAATGATTTAATCGTTAAAAAGTTGCTCGGAAGCATTAATTACTCACTATTTGCCGCTCCTGCTGCTATAACTTTTGGCAGCTAACGGCAATTTAAAGTGTGTGTCTATAAATTGAGTGATGAAAAAAATTGTAGAAAACGCCTAATGGCGCTTTTATGGCGCATTTCAGGCGCCACTTGATGTCCGTCTGCAATTTGAGTGCTTTTTCTCGTATATATTTGTTTCGAAAATTGTTTGCGGCATGGCTTTGTTTTTGCAAATTGCGTTACGTTTCAATTCGTTTGTTATTTTCAAGCATTTCAATTATTAATTGCATGTCATTTGAAATTTCGTGGTGCCAAATTGAAGACTGATGGGTTTCTCAACACTTTACAGTTAGTAAATTAAACAGTTTAAATTAAACAAATAAACATATAGACGTAGATGATATTTTAACATAGAGTCATTTATACAAATATTTTTAAGATTTTAAAAACGAGATTTGAAGAGCAACAAGCAATTTAAAAATAACAGCGTAGACATTTCTCAAGTAAACCTGGCGTTCCACATGCAATGCGTACAACGTGCCACCTGCCGCGAGTTTTATACAATTTATTTTTTGTGCACAAATACACATACATACAACCGTTTGTATTTGTGGCAATCAATTTTGCCTATTCGCTGCACAACATAAGTACTCGCAGAAAAACACAAGCATACACACCTGAAATCGCAGAAAGTGCGCGTATTAAATTCTTCAGTGATTCAGCTCCACGCAATTTTCGCGAATATTTTTCATGAATTTATTTCTCAAGTCACTTTTTTAATGAAGCACGCTAAAAATTTCGTGCACAATTATAAAAATTAATTTATTTGCAGTTTATTTATTATACTTTTTATCAGGTAATTCACAAATAAAAAGCGTGCATTTGTAGGCGTAACGGTACTGAGGTTACCTGCGAATCCTCTCACGTAACGGTTTAATTGTCTACAATTTCATTAAATCTATTTCACTGCAATGTTTTAATAATTTTATACAAATCGAGCTGCAATTAAAGTAGATAAGGTATGTATTTCAAATTCAATTATTAGTAATTATAGCAAATGTAGTTACATACGTTCGTGCTCTTTTCCGAATAATTTTTCAAATGCAATTGGAACAAGCGAAATATTAATGAAAAAAGAACGAAGCAAAACGTGAACCATCGAAGAATTAGTGTAAATTACTGCATGAAGGACATGACTTTCAGCAAATCTAATGATAAACGCGTTTATACGCCTAAAAGTGTGCTTTAAGAAAAATACGATAGTTCTAATCCAACGTTATCTGCGGCCTTTTTAAAAAATAATTAGTTTTGACTCAATTGCTCATTAGTTTATTATGTATTAAATTAGATACCTCGCTTGCAATAATACTGCTATAAAGGCTTTAAAGGATTTGTTGCCATTGAACAGTTCAACGATTTTTCAAAACCTATGATGAACAATGATTCAAAAAATATCGAAATTGATATTTTATATAACGATTTTTGCAATTTTTCCAAACTAAATAAAGTCACGCGTTCAGACCTTTTTACGAATTTATTGAAGCAACAAATGAGTGTGAAAATTCTCTTTACATACATATGTACATATATGTAGGTATTTATATTTTTTAAAACCTGTTTGATTACAACAATAAAGTGCCTGTTAAAAAGCATTTTTATTTTACAAACTTCAACATTTTAATTGCCTCATTTAAATTCAATGTGCGAGTTGAAACAAAAAAGTATTCTCCAAATCCATACTTCCTATAAAACGCTTCTCTCGCATATGAAATCTATATTTACTATATGTAGATATGTATATATGTAGGTACATATGTAAGTTATCAGTATGTTATCGCCGGTTTACATTTCCGACTGCCTTCGCAACAAGATTTCGGTATTTGTCAATTGAATGGCGACATTCAGATTAAAACTTGATCAGTTGGGTAGTGGGTGAAGACAACTCGCATAGAATTAACGGCAAACAAAAGTAAATAAGTAATTTTGTCGAAGAAATTTTTTGTGTATTAAATTTTAACATTTTATTCATGCATATTTATGTATGTACTTATATGTAAAATGTAATCTGTACGTATGTATAAGTATGTATAAATTCATATTTGTAAGTGTGTGCGTTTAAATGGAAACACGATCGAAATAAAGTGTTATAGTTAAATATTTTTTTTAACAAACAAATATTTACGAATAAGAGAAGGTAGAATAAAAAAAACGAAAAGTTTACTTTTGATTTACACTTTGGAATATTTATATACAACTGCCAAGCAACGTGAGGTCTCATCTCGATATTTCTTCGAGGTAGGCAGCAAAATAATTAAACTAAAAAAATTTAAAAAGTTTTTTATATACGCACTTACACTCATATACATATTTATGTATGTATGTAAATGAATAAGGTTTTCTGCATAAAAGAAAAAAACACGTGCGGAAAAAATTAAACAATATTTGAAAGTCGGTAAGGCGAGTTGGGCGTTTAAAATGACATACTTATATTCTTACCATAAAACTTATATGTATGTATATATACCAACAAATGTATATGTATGTTATATATGACAAAATTAATTACAAATATAAATAAATATATTATAATACCATATATATACATATGCACGTGTGCAACAGAACGAAAGATGAAACAAACAAAACTAGAATTGTAAAATCAAAACAAAAGAATGCAAAAAGTAACTGAAAGCAAAAAATAAAAAAATCACAAATATATTTACATTGCCATAAAGAAATATATATTTTTATGATTCATTAGAAAATTATGCTAATAAAAGTTATTTAACCCAGTTCTTATTCATAAGTTTATTCTGTTCCGTCCATATACTACGATAATGAAATTAATAGTAAGAATTAACTAAAATACAAGTAATAAATAAAAAATAATTAACTTATGAATAAGAAATCGCATTAAATATTTTTTTTACGAATTTTGCGGATAAGCAAATTAAAACTGCTTATTTAATTTTTTTATCAACATCAACGATTTCTCAATTACCTTGCATTTGAAACCACTTCGGTAATAATTTGTTTATTTTTTTTTCTTCCCAGGAATTGTATAGTTTTAAGCTCTAAACAATTAGCATTTCCTTTAATTTAGGTTAGCTAAAGCTTCATACAAATTTTTACACTCAAATGCAGCGCCTATAAACTATTAAAGGCTTAACTTCGGTTGGCACAAATTCAAAGCAAACAGATTGTGTTGGTTTTGTAAACATTTAAATTTCTAAAAATGTAAATCTTACATATATATATTATATACATACTTTTATGAAGATGTATGAAATACATGCACACATATCAGGCCCGGCTGGAACCAGGTTTTATCACGCCACTTTGTCACACCCGTCATGTTTGTTCTTTTCGTTAACTCTGCCACCCGAGTGTGTTTCCTGGAAACTCTTACAACATCTTAAATCGTCGCTCGCCTTTTGTGTCTTCAAAATCATTTTATGCCAAAGAAAACAGTTGCTAACCAAAATTGTCTATGAATGGAAATAAATCCAGTGCAGTACAATCCATGCTTGTGTGAGTGTGTGTGCAACGTGCTTGCCTAATGTTTTGCCGCTTCTGGGTCACACCGATAGTAGATGTGTATAGCTTTGTGTGTTACATACCGGAAAGAAAGCTAATTGTTACGCACGTAATTTCAAGGAAGACCGGTCACTTGGACCTTGTACTGACCGCACAGTTACGAGCAAATACGAGTACCATAGAAGTGTACAAACATACGAGCTACAAGTAGTAACAACCTTGTTGACACAGTGATGGGTGTTCTGCCAAGTGTGAATTGGGTATTTGGTGTGTGGGAAAGTGCTAATAGACTGTTGGAGACTTCGAGTGCCTTTTTTGTTAGAATTTTGACATGTACATAAATATAAGTTGTAAGTCTAAGTTAAATTGTAAACAAATAATTCACGAATTAATTTGAATTTTTGTTTATTTCTTATTTACAGTTACGGCAGCCCATATAACATGAGCGCTGAATAAAAGAAAAACAGGTAAGAAATAACATTTCATGTGCTTTTTTAGCATTCATTATGCTCTACCTTCATAAAGTATTTATGGTAACATCAACTCGAGTTTGGGCTGTTAGCAAAAGGGGTTAAATCCGCTTTTAACATTATATTTACTCTTCGAAATAAAAATAAAGCTTGGCCTCATTGGAAACTTGAGTTTGGTCTATATATCAACCTGTTCGTAATTAAGTTACTTGAAAGTACTGATTTGGAAGTATATTAATATATACATATATCTTTTACAATGTGGAAATGAACTCATATAAGATTATTACGAGAGTGCATTACAAACCCATATATAATGTGAGGAAACAATTTTTTACCAGAGTTCATAAGACCTCCTGGAGAATACATCTAAATAAGTATGTGCTAAGCCCATTCTCATTGCTGGAATTTTGTAATTTAGTATGAATGTGATTCCAAATTGTGCACACTTAGATTTCATAACAAAAAGTTCAGAAATTCCATGGCACCACAGAAACAGTTTTTACCCGCTAATACCACACAACACAGAGGCGAATGTGGTTGACTATTTCTATATACCTTTATACGTGCCTACTCACTTGCGCTCAGGTAGTTCCGTATAGAAATAGATTGTTGCCTTCGCGGGTCATGGTTGATTTTACAACTGAAATTACAATACTCATGCGCTTTGCACTCGACTCCAGTGCCCGAGGGATTGGCTTCTATTGTGTGCGTGTATGTGTGTGTCTTGTGGAAGTCATTGAGACTGAAACCGCAAATTTACTTAATTTACTTAGTAAGTTGGCGGAGGCAGAGGAAAAAGTGGCGGAGGTAACCATCAGCAATCAGTGTAAGAAATGTTTTATTATTGTTTTTGGTGGGGCTCCATGACGTTGGCGAACGCATGAAAAGTGAACTCCGGACGCGCATGACTTTTATATTGGCAAAGGGCGTGAATATTTAAAATTAACAATGTACACATATTTCTATGCATGTGTATTTGCATACAAACATACACACGTGTCTATAGTACACCTAAATACAAAAAAACGTATATATATATTACATATATACTACAATGTATGAATGTTTGTTTTATTGTTATGAAGTGTCGTGGAGGAAGTACAAAAGTAGCAGTAACTTGCGACTTCTTTGCTGGCTATTAGCGACAGAGGTGCCAGATTTTCATTCTTAATTTTATTAAATGAATTTATGAGCGAACAAATTTTTGGAGACGCATTTGGTCCATAATTACCCTTATGTTTATTTAAACACATATATAATAGTACAGAACGCATCGAGCTCTAGTATGACCATCGTGATCTTAAAAGGCGCATTTATTTCATTTTCAGCAAATAATTATAAATAAAGAAATCGCGAGAATATCTTATTGTGCAACAAACAACAACAACAATGCGGAAATTTCTGCTTATTTTACCTTCAATACGTCTTTAAACAGATTATACAAGTATATTATATAATCGAATCGTAGTAAGTAAATACTTGTCTGAGGAGTTTTCCTCTTTAAAATTCTTCGAGTAGTTCTCAGCTAGCGATAGTATCGAGGTGGGCGCTGAGTTCTACTAATACTTTAGTTCTTCAAGCATGGTATTTGGCTGGCAGTGTCGGCTCAAAGTGAGAGATATTTGCTTAGACGCCGTGGGTTCTTCGGAAACAATCGTAATATTGAGAAAGTATAATTCAGAAACGCAGTACTGACATTATTTCTCGAATTTCGTTAAGTAAGATGAAAGGTTTGCTGTAACTGATCCCAAAAGATGTTTATGTAATGCTTGAAGATTGGTGTAGCAGAAGATCTCTAAACAATTCGCAAACATTTTCCTTTTTAAACTTATCTGGCAACGCTATTTCCACTTGATCGGAGTTTTAAGATTTTCATCGGCCTATGAGATTTTCGCTGTCATTCCTTAGTTCCTTAATTTCTTTTTGGTAACAAAACCTCTAAAATAGTTGGTTAAGGTTTTTAAATTCATTTCGTACTCTCATTCTTTACTGTCGCACTGACCATTAACATTTTTTTATTTGTTGTTATTTACATGGCCCTTTTCTCGCTGCGGTTACGGTAAATATCCGCCAGACTAAAAATAATCAAAAAACATGAAATGCTTATGAAATTCCCACGCATATTGTAAACTTGACTCCCTGCTTTTACATACGAAGAATAATGAACTCTAATAATATTTCCAACACAAATGTAACAATTGTCACGAATAAAATTCCGCCTCAGGAGAAATATTGTTTGATATAGCTTACACGCATACATATACTCATCTACATAACACACACACATTTTTGCCTTTTTGTTGCCCCTCAATTCTGCTTCTTGCTTTGTTCCCCGAATGTTTAAAGACCAGTAGCAGCTCAACCACTTAGCGGCTGTTTTGCTTCACTCGTTGTATTTGCTCTTCTGCACTCTATTTAGTTTCGGGCTTCGTTGTCTCGTTCTTCTTGCCATTTAACTTAAATAGTTAGACATGGTTCTTCGTAGAGCCGACACTCAAGAGTTTGTTGCGCGTTTTCGCAGAAATTCTTTGCGCTACTGCATTTAGCAGCCACTTCACTAGTCGCCACGCCATGCCACTCCACAACACTACACTCTACTTCACTGCATTATCGCCGCGCTACAGATACGCACACACACACACACGAATATAAAGTTTCAAGTACGTCTTTTACTCCTCTTCGCCTCACTCTAGGTCCCCGAGCCTTCCTCAGTCGTCTGTCAACAAACTGCTCACCATAGTTAAGGCCGCTCACCACATCAGCGTTGTCTCCCAGCGTTGGCATGCCATCTTTAGCGCATTTCCAGCACTTCAATACGCTTGAGTTTCCAGTTGCTACACGTTTTTGCCGCGAGCTCCATCAACCCCAGAACTCTAATTGCGTGTTAACATAATAAGTGCTAGAAATTATTAGGAGCACTGTTTCGTAGAGTGCAGCGAGGATCGGACTTTACGTATGCCTACCACAGGTGGCCCTTGAAAAGCCATGCTTCCTAAATTCTGCACCTACGTCTCCTCGCCTCTCGCCCTTGTTAGGTCATACATATGTATGCTTGTAAGTGCTTCATCAGAAAGAAGTAAATAGCTCGATATCTACCACCTTTTCCCGCTGACATTACACACACCACCACATACACGTCCCTGCGCGTTCTATTCATTACTCTAGCGCCATCGTTCAACCGGTTGACCGCCAGCCTATCGGTTCGTAAGTCACTTTGTGCTCGCGTGCGTAATAGTTTAGTGTCATCGATCGGTGTGTAGCTGTTGAAGTTGTTGTAAAAGAAGCTACCGGTTGGCGATTGAAAAAAGAAAACACATTTTGACCTTGTTTCGGGAGAATCCAATAAATAGATAGAGTGGTTACAGATAACCAAGTGGAAAGTGCGTGCGAGTGTCGGTTTTTCTCAAATTAATTTATGTAGGCCTTCTCGTGGACGTTGCTGAGATTTCTAAGCGATTTTATTTTAAATTTTGTTGCTTTTTGTGCTTAATGTTCTAACACAGTTTTTTTGATTTTTGATTACTCAAAAATGCCAGTTTCAGTGGAATTTGCTATGAGTTTTACAAACACGAAGATGAAATGTGTAATATTTTCGCTCTTGAAGTGTGGAAATATGTAATACAAAATTGAGGTTCACATTCCCGTATTTGATAAAATAAAAAGGAAAGAAAAGTTGCTGCTCTTGTATGAGGAATACAGGAAATGAAATGAGTTAAATCTGATTAACCAATGAAAGTATTCTGGGAAGTTATAGGATATTAACTTTTGTGATGTTTATTTTTACTAAAGTTCACTAGGTGGCGCTGTGATACAATCTCAGTATTTTAGTGGTTCTTAAATCGACTTGTTCAAATAAAGGCTTAATCCTAGATATGTTGTAGTTTGAGAACTTAAGAGCTCTACAGATAGACAATGGTTTTTGGTTTTGCTCTTTGAAAGTTTTGCTTAATTTGGTGAATCACTGCGTTATTAAGCAAAATATCAGAAGGACTATTAGCTGAAAATAGAAGTAAATGGAAAGATATGATCAGCTAAATAAATAATGCATATCTTGAAAGGAGAATGAAGTTGGATTGAATTTGAGCGCGCTGTTTCAGAGATATTTCGGGAAACAATTAAGTCGATTTTGCATTCAGATACAATAGCATAGACGCTGTACTTTCAGAATCGAATCATATATGTACATATATTTGAAATAAATCTTATTTCATAAAAAGTAATTAGGAGATATTCTATAAATTATCGAAATAAGTCAAGCAAAAAGTTTCTGAGGTAAATATTCCATTGATCCATTAAATCCACTCCATGTAACATTTATTTTCATACATAGATTTGAGTAACAGTTGCTGTCCAATAAAAGACCTTGAAATCCATTTCATCAGATGTTCGAATATAAATTGTAAAAAAAAACTTTTAAAAATGCTTCAAAGAATCAGAATCTCCTACGATCTCCCATAAGATTTTTCGCGTGGCAGAGAAACAATAGATTACGCGAAAAACTAATAAGACTTAAAACAGAACTGATGAACTACGCAATGAATCCACAAATAGCTCCGAGACAATAGATTTTATTTTTATTTCGAAATTTAGATTCTTCTTTTTTGTCAGGTTTAAGTATAACCACAGAGTGAGTCACGCGAACAATGCTATGGATCGATGAATATAAAAAACATACAAAGCGGACAAAATTGAACGAGGTAAACATATACACACGCATACGTACATACATACTTAAGCACGTACTTACATACGCGTGAGCTTGCAAAATTTGTTTAACAAATTAATGCGTTGAGTGAGTAAGATGAGTGTGAAGCGCAAAAAGAAAACCAAACCAAAAAAATAAAAGTAAAAAGAGCTATGCAAAAACCAAAAAGACGCTGCAGTGTTTGTTTTCTTTAAAATAAAATAATAAAAAAACATTGAAACATTTAGCCCACAAAGTGAGCGTAAAATTTGCAAACAATCGGCGCAAAACGGCGACACACGCCAAGCAG